CGGCCGCCTCGCGGGGGCGCGGGGAGCCGGGCCTGCGTCCCTCGGCTCCGGGCGCTGCTGCCCGGCGGGGGCCTCTGCCCACGCCCGCTCCCCAAGTCGCTGGCACAAGGCCGCTCGCCCCGCGGGGTGAGGCAGTGCTGCCGACGGGCATTGCGTCCGCAGAAGAGCCCAGCAGCCGGGCTGATAGCCCCCAAGCCCGGGCTGGACGGGGCTGATAGTCAGCACCGCTAAGCTGGATCTGGGCCAAGCTTGTTCCTCCCCCCATGGTGCCCGTTGTGTTGATGGCTCCTTGGCTTGCGTAAGGCTTGAGACCAGTGGCTCATTGCTGATGGGCCCCTAAACCATCACCAGGTGGGAATTGGACATGGACAGCAGCCCTGAAACTTCTTTGAATCCCGAGCCTCCCTCCCACTTGGCTGGCTGTGGGCTGCAGACTGCCTCTGGCTGTGCTGCCCAGCAGCAATGTCGCAGGGAAGGGATTGCATGCATCGGGGGCCACCCTTGGCTTTTAAGGTGCACAGAACGCTTTGCCCAGCTCCAGTAAAGCAGCCTGCGCTTTGCCGTCGTTGCTGACCGCTGATACAGATGATGGATCTCTCTCCATTGCACGGCAGCGATGAATGCGGTTGACAGTCCCCAGGCCAACTTGCCTCCTGTTACTGCCTGCCTGAGTGGCGCCAGAAGGAAGCAGCCAGGTTGTGCTCTTGGCTCCCCACCTGCCGTAGTTTGGGACTGCACAGGGCATACATCCCGGTAGGGTGCAGCCCAGTGAGCCAAACTGCGTTGCAATCAAGGGGAGTCTTGTCACTGGGATGGGCTGTAGCTCAGACTGACAGGGCACTCATGGACTTGCAGTGGTTTGCTGGCGCGTGGCTGGCTGGATTAGTAAAATCACTAATGCAAGTTGGCAGGCTAGAGGAGGCCAAAGTCTTCTGCCTGTGCATCGCACCACAGGCAGAAGTCCCATAACGCTTTAACAGTGACATAGACACTTCTAACATTTTTCCAACCCACTTCCCTGCCAGGATTATACCCTGGAAGGGACCAGCATCCGCCTTTTGGAAGTGGTGAGGGGCGTATTGGAAACTTGTTCCCTTGTTAAGCGTTCTAGGAGGGAAAAGACGTGGCTCAAAGCAAGACGTAACAGTCAATGTAAGTGGTGCTGCCCAGGCCTGTGATAACTGGTGGCCTCTTGTGTAATGTTATAGGGACTGCCCAATGCATGATCACTTCAGCTGTGGAAACTCGAATCCATTTTTCTCACCAGCCATTCCAGACTCGGCTTGTGTCCTCTAGCCAGCCATAAATCCCATTCAATGGGAACAGAGACAGTTTGATCCAAAGCCCACTGGAGTCCATGGTAATCTTTCCATTGGACCAGTCTGTTTTAGGATTGTTGCAAATAAGTATGTTGATGCTGCCACTTCAGGAGTCAGGTTCATCCCTGATGTAAACCATTACCAATGTCACTGGAGTTGCGCCAGGGATGAATTTGGCTCTGACAGTTTAAGCCCCGTGCTGTCTTAAAGCTCAAATGATGGCTGGCTACATTCATCATGCATTGCTAAACCATCCGTTCCTGAAATCCCAGTGGAAGCTCAGTGCGAGGACATGTGATCAGCACAGACATCTGCCTTGAACTCCTTCATCTCCAGTCTCCTGATACCCTGAAGTTCATCTCCCTGCCAGAAGGAGGTTATGTAACCATGTAGCTTTTATTTCATCTACAGTCCAATTGATAGACAGCTTCCAGTTGTAGTCAACAAGCTGCTGATGAACGGGGTTGTCCTTTCTCAGTCTGGCATCAGGAGCTCCCAGAGTCTTGCTCCCCATGATGTAAATTGAACTGGATTATGGATGTCCTTGGCAAGCTCTTTCCATGCATCTAACCAGCTGGGGTTTGCCGGCAAGAGCAGATGAGACGTCTTCACCGGTGTTGTGTGAGGGGTGCTTGGACTATGCAGCATGTCACCTCTGCCTCCTGGGACAGGTGTTGAACACGGAGTGGTTCTAATATGTTGGCTACAGTTCTCACCATCTTTGGCCTGATGCTCTGCAAGTTTTGTCCAGATTATCGTCTGCCCAGGACAATTGTGGAAGTCCTTGATCTTTGAAAATGAGTATTGTTGTCTCTGTTCAGTAAGCCAGGTGTCAGGAGAGTATGTGGAGTTCCATAACTTGTGGATTCAGGTGTGGAGAGCTTAGATGTTATGGTTGCTTCCAGTGCTTAGATGTGCAGTCCTTAATGGAAAACTCAAGTGGCTTTGAAGAAGGCTGACCCCGTTCGGTTCTGAGTGCTTGTGGAGAGGGGACATGGCGTCCTTTGGAGCTTGAAACAACACAACAGTGACCCTGCAGCATGGCTCAAGAAAACAAGCCGGGAAGACGCAGAGTGGGCATCTTGAGAATCTGTTGGGGAGGTGGCCAAGCTTGGCGTAAGTGGGGCAATGGCACAGTGGCTGTCCGATCCTGTTGGGCTGGTGAGGGAAGGTTGGAGTGTCATATGGGAGCCTGCAGGAGATGGGACCACAGTCCTAGTGCTGGGCTTGTACAGCTCAAGCCTTTGCTACTCAGAAGCAGATGGTGGCATTGTTACGTTCCTCGCTGCAAGCAGTGCTCTGAGTTTGCCAGGATCAGCCATGACAGCTGGCGTTGTAGGCTGTTCTCCAACACCTGCATGAGGAAGGGGGTGGGGGGCATGGAGGATTTGTAAGGGGAGGAGAAGCAATTCCCTTTCACAGAGGATGACGACCCTCCAGTATAGAGCCTTCGACTTCACAAAGGAGCAAGTGGGTGGTGGGGGGTTTCCTATGCTGATCACTTGCTCCAGAGCTGCAGGATTCAAACAGGAGCATGTCTGCAGCGCAGGGCACCACCTGGGGGCACTGTGCAGATCGGTGGCCTCCTTTGCAACCTTCAGAGATGTTTGAGAAGGGGCCATGGGCAACTTCCTGGTTTTGGGAGCAGCTGCTCCTGCTTTGTGTTTGCCTTGCAAAACTTAGAAGGGCCAGAAGATGTTTTAGATGTGGGAGGAGGCCTGGGCTGTCTGTCTTGGCTTTGCCATTGACCAAGTTACTGTGGACCATTTGCTTCTCTGTGTGCTTCATTTTCCTCGTCTCTAAAATATTAAAACGCTGAGGGGGTTGTAAAGGTGACATCCCAAGTTCCTTGGAGGACAGAAGCTGCAGTTGTTCCAAGTACTATTTCCTAGTAAAGGGCCAGCATGTAGAGTCCATGCAGGGGGCACTGGAGCAACACACAGGGCCACCAGGTCATGCTCAGAATATCCACAGTGAAATAAAACAAGGACCTGTGGAGCCCTGCATGTCCACAGACTGTCTAAGGGTTCCATGAAAGATGACTATAATCAACCGAAAGTATCTGAATACCCACACTTACAGTTCAAAGGAGTCTGCACCTCTGTCTAAATTTTTTTAGGTGTCTGCAAATGGAAAAAAGACTAAAAACCACTGCTGTGGAGCAAAGCTTCACTGGGAACATTATGGAAATCCCACTGGAGGTGGCAGCTCTAAACTAGGCTGTTTCCACCTTCTCCCCTTTCCCATCCTCACCAGATCTCGAGGGATTTTAAACGAGTGACACTTTCACTGGCAGTCTGTTTTCCTGGCATCCAGTTTACTGGGGAAGCTGGCTCTGTAATTCAGCCTCCGATGCCTTCATCCCCTCTAATGAGTTCTGATAGGGTTGTGTTATTGCGCCCAGTGCAGGAATCTCTGGGTAAAATTCTCTGGCCTGTGTTATACAGGGGGGTGAAACTGGATGATCAAAATGGTCCTATTTAGCCGTAAAGTCCAGGAATGTCTGGGAAACTCATGTGTCGGTCAAAAAGGGCAGGTCTTCAGAGAGAAGAAGAATTTCTTTGCTACATCCATTGATCCAGCTTCAGGGTTATCCTGCTCCCTCCTTCAAACATCTGCACCATCTGTCCATGGCACTGATCGGTTCCCAGTACTTTTAGCCACAATCCAGGAACAGTCTGTCCTTATGCTGCTAGCACAGAACCTTCCTCAGCTTCACGGCACGCTTCCCCATGTGTGTGCATTAGGGCTGATCCTCACAGGACTTGTACTTAAGTGATTTCTGGCGCAGAGTTGGTGTGACATGTCACCAGCCCAGCATTCTCTGGTTGTGCACCAGTGGCACAATCCTGCACATGCTCTGCCCAGATGTTGGTGGCACAGGGATCAGCCTAGTGGAGAGGGAGGCCCTTTGCATTTCATTCTCTCTCTCCCATCGTCCACCTCTTTCCTCTACTCCCCAACTCTGTTCTGTCTCATCTCTGATTTCCACCCCCCTTTGTTTCTCTCTGTAGTTCCACAGTCCCCTCCCTTGCTCTGTACTGAGAGGATGCCATTCCACTGTTAATCCAGGAGTCCAGATGCTTTCATTCCCCTCGCGTCCCATCTCTTGGCCTTTCTTGCACCACTGACTCATCTCTGCGGGGTCTCTTGCTTTGTGTTCCTTTGCTGACCTTCTGAGCCAGGCTTTGGAGCTGGCTGGATGGCCAGCATTGCTGGGTGAGGGCTTCTCTGGTATGAAGATGCTCTTGTTAGTGGCATGGAGCTGCAGCTTGGCATTTTGAGAGGGATGGTCACCAGGATGCTGCCATTGAGACTTGAACCCAGGTCCTGGTGGGGGGGGAAGGGAGGGCCCACTAAGAGCTGCTTGTTAATGTATCCCTGCAGTGAGCAGTCAAGGTTCACAGCCGTAAGTGGGTCAGTGTGTCAGTGCAGGTGTTGGGCACCGAGCCAAATGTTCTCTCAGCCAGCAAGGAAACAGACTCTTAAAAGAGCAATGAGCAAAGAGAAGCATATGACCAGGCTCTTCACTGCGTGTCCTAGCTGTACCAACTCTTCCTGTCTAACTGTGGCCTTTGCC